CTTTAATCGCGTCCACATCTCGCTGGGTAAACTGCAAACTCGTTTTTATCTCCTGCATTTCTTTGGTCATGTCGTCGAGTCTCTTGTTATTTGTCTCCATAATTAGTTTCACAAAGCCTTGGAAACTTTCATGCTGTTGGCACATAAGCGCAGTGAACATCAGCTTCTGCTGATTCAACATCTCAGCTACTTGCGCCGCTGAAATAGAATCTTCTTCAGCCTCAACATCTTTGCTCGCTTTGGATTTATTAGCTCTTTTCCCTCTTGGAGGCATTTTAGTAGTTGTAGAATTTATTCAAAGACTTGACAATGTAGAAGATGTGAAAAATCATAGAACAGACAAGAGGAGCAGTAAAGACGTCTGCTCTCGCTTGCAACCCGGAAAAAACAATGAAAAATAGGAACCATTGGCCAAAAAGATAAAGTAGCCAAACATCTGGTGCCTAAGCAGAAGATAAAATATTAGCATATACTATAATATTAAAATATCATAGCATATGCCAAATACAAACCAAATGCCTCAGCAGAAGAACAGGCGTGATATGCAACAGATAACAGATTATAAATGGCATGTTGAGCTACAAAGTACAGAATCTGATTTTTTTTTTTTTTTTGTTTGTTTACTTCTGTGGTCTTGATCTCCTAGTTTTGGCCTGTGTTTTATTACTTACATCAACCTAATTTTCAGCAATATCTGTGTAGAAATTTTGAAGTAACTCGTCAACTTTTTCACTGAGGATCACAAGCGCCACTTAGAATATAACAAGTAAAACATAACCGCTGGTGTACAGGACATAGGCCTACTAGTCTGTATGGATCTATAAACGTATTTAAAATGAAAATGCCAAAATCAACTTGAAAACTCAACAAAACACCGGGAACCACTTGCAATACTAGTCAATGATAAACATGCCTTACTGCTTTTCCTAAAATCCATAAACCCAGCGATAAGGAGACAATTTCAGAGGCAGCTTCTACCCACACAGAAACATGAGACCACAGCACTTCAAGCAATACAGAATGTGCCCATTATGTTTCAGTGTAAATGAATATGACGGCACATTTTATGTTTATATATGTGTGTGTTTGTGTAGATCTTCCACTGTCACCACTCAAAACAACAGCTGGTCATATCAAATAAAATGCACATTAGCTGTGAGCAGCCTCCCAGGCCTTTGTTCAGGCATCCACCCTACACCTCACTGCAGCCCATCTCTTATCCTCAATCGATTCTTTCAGCTTACACATTGGATCACTAGCCCTTACTGACAGTCTGAGTTTTACTGTATTGCTCATGTAGAGATGGTAATGCTTAAGCTGAAGACAACAGGAAGGAGAACTCACCATAAATACCACTCATACATATTGGGTTTGTAAGCAAAGTGCCAGTTTTTATAAAATTTCTGTGGTGAGAACAGAGCATCAATCCTGACAGAGGAGGATAGACAGAAGCAGTCCTCCAAACATACATTAACATATAAAAAAATATAGCCTATATTTCTTACTGTATGTAGTCATACTTCAATACTACAGCAACTTATTTTCTTATACAAAGAGAGATAAAAAAAAAAAAATACAATGTTTTCTATATGTGCATATTCTGAATGTTTCTTAGTATAATTCACAGTAAAAATTATCAGAATAGGATCCGGTTATTATAAAATCCATGGTAGACCACATAAAGTCTATAATGCAATTTCCTCCTTGTCCCATTTCCACCTAGTTTCACATTAGGAGATAAGCATATTTTGTATGAATTAAACAGGAGTGTGTGTGTGTGTAGTGAGGCATTAGGCCAGTAACACAGTAACTGTGATGGTGAGGCTTATCGAGGTCTGCTGATGTTAATAGAGAGACAGTGCTATCTGCAATTTGTTCATTATTTTAAGGAACATCAGTCCCATAATAAAGAGGCAGCATTATCCAAACAGCAGTGTAGCCTCCGCTCACCACAGCACTATTGCCATGGACGCCGAGAGGAAACAGATTTCACCTTAGCACACTACTAGGGTTGTATCTTTGTGTTTAGGTTTTACACCAACCTGAGGGTGCACCAACCCAAGCCAAGCCAAGGACACCATCATCAAAGTCCCTATCAGTGAAGACGTAGGCCAGGCAGTAGTCATCATGGTTTTGTTCAGAGTTGAGCTCCAAAAACTTCTCCACTCCAATGTTGGCAAAGCGAAAAGGATTGCTTTTGTCCGTTACATCATCAGTGGTGTTTATCTGAAAGAAACAAAAATAATGAAAAAAGAGAAAAGAGAGATGCCTCTAGACTGATAGAGTAGTAGATAAAGGGTGTAGAGACTCAAAGGTTCTTGGCATGAAATGACAAATATTCACACTGAGGAATCTACAGTATGTCTACACCACAGTGTTCAGTACCAAGCAGACAAGTCAACAGACTCTGCCACTCAGAATATCAGCAGCTTGATCCCTACAGGTCAGTTTTGATATAAACTGTCCAGAATTTAAATGGCAGCTGGCTTTCATTTGGGGTTCAAGCAAACATTTGTTGAGATTCAACTCACCTTGATCCTTTTAACCATGAAGCTGATGTTTCGGATGCCCATGAAGTCTGTGGCCTGGTAAATTGAGTCGATAGCCTTCACATGGCTTGAGATCTGAGGAGAAACCAATGCATTCTGATATTTCAACCACACTGAAGACACTAAGCTTATTTCACATTCCTACTTCTGTTAAAAAAAAAACAACAAAAAAACAACATTGAATAAAGGATCTTGTTGCTGCAGAGGGAGCAGCAATACATCTGATAAACTGCCTCAAGTGATGTCACTCACCCGCTGGGGCTTAAGATTACAAGACTGAAAAGAGAAAACACTCAGACTGCAGCTTTAGAAAGTAGTAAGCTTATCAGGTCTCTGTAATCTGTTCTACCTTTCTAATCGAGGCTAGCAGCTTGGGGCCACATTAGCCACTACTAGCATAAGAGACCCAAATTTCTGAACAAGCTGTGAGAGGTCATATTGCCTTGTGGGAAATGCAGGCCTAGTATTGTCATTAAAGAACAATGTGTGGAATAAAGACCAGTTCTGTTGCATCAGTTGTGATCCTTTTTTAAACTTATGTCTCACAATGTTGTAGAAGTGCAATGCTAAATATGTGCAGTATTCAAAGACACAACGGCTAACCAGGCATGGATGTACGCAATTCTTTAACAGACTACATCCTGAATGGATGTGGGTGATTAAGATATGCAAATATACTGTATGATGCAGTATATGTGCAGGCAACATGGCCTCCAGATAAGGTATAAGTCAAAGTTAATATGCTGGACTGTATGTATGCCTTCATACCTGGGCAATGACAGCCTCTCTTGTGCCATAGTATTTGAAGAAGAAGTGGTCAGTCTGGATGAAGAGCTGGCAGGTGTTTTTCACTTCCCTCTTCCTCCTCAACACGACAGGACCATGAGAGCTCTCCTCCTCTAACACACTGCTCACCCCCTGTACAAAAAAAACAAAGTAGTCAAAAACTGAGGAGAACAAAATACATGGCTAAACCTATCCCCAGTCAAATACTCATCAGTTCTGATTACAGGATGTTCTTTTCTATTGTGACAGTTCCTTTTTATTTTGCAAACCATTATAATGTAATCACCAGTGTCTGGTGAGTGAAGTCACTGTGTGGAAGATTCTGCACAGAAAGATTAGGGTTGTGTACATGAACAGACTATCATTTTTATCCAAAACCTCCTGGTGAAAACTTACACGGTTGTAAACTCAAACGTGGTTTTAACATTGCTTAATCAAATTTTAGATGGAAAGTATGTAAGAAAAATATACACATGCTCTTAATAAGGTAGGCAGGCTCTTTTTAATGTTGTGAGTCTTGTCCATCTGTGTGTTTAATTGTGAGGTGGAAGGAGGGGAAGGAGTGTTATGATTACTGGTCGAGTAATTAATCGGGCCAATTTTCAGCGTTGGCCAATGACTGCACTCTAATCGCCTGATGTGTCTACAGCCAAATAATGTGTGTGCTACTACTGTGTGCAGTCCAAGTATTTACATATTTTTGTTGTCTCAAGAAAATGCAAGTGTTACAGTGGGCCAAAAAAGTATTTAGTCAGCCACCAATTGTGCAAGTTCTCCCACTTAAAAAGATGAGAGAGGCCTGTAATTTACATCATAGGTATACTTCAACTATGAGAGACAGATTGAGAAAAAAAAATCCAGAAAATCACTGTCTGATTTTTAAAGAATTTATTTGCAAATTATGGTGGAAAATAAGTGTTTGGTCAATACCAACAGTTCATCTCAATACTTTGTTATATACCCTTTGTTGGAAATGACAGAGGTCAAACGTTTTCTGTAAGTCTTCACAAGGTTTTCACACACTGTTGCTGGTATTTTGGCCCATTCCTCCATGCAGATCTCCTCTAGAGCAGTGATGTTTTGGGCCTGTCGCTGGGCAACACGAACTTTCAACTGGGGCTCCACGCAAGATCTCACCCCGTGGGGTCAAAATGATCACAAGAACGGTGAGCAAAAATCCCAGAACCACACGGGGGGACCTAGTGAGAGAGAGCTGGGACCAAAGTAACAAAGGCTACCATCAGTAACACACTACGCCGCCAGGGACTCAAATCCTGCAGTGCCTGACGTGTCCCCCTGCTTAAGCCAGTACATGTCTGGGCCCGTCTGAAGTTTGCTAGAGAGCATTTGGATGATCCAGAAGAGGACTGGGAGAATGTCATATGGTCAGATGAAACCAAAGTAGAGCTTTTTGGTAAAAACTCAACTCTTCGTGTTCGGAGGAGAAAGAATGCTGAGTTGCATCCAAAGAACACCATACCTACTGTGAAGCATGGGGGTGGAAACATCATGCTTTGGGGCTGTTTTTCTGCAAAGGGACCAGGATGACTGATCTGTGTAAAGGAAAGAATGAATGGGGCCATGTATCGTGTATAGAAAACCTTTGGAGGGAGTTGAAAGTCCATGTTGCCCAGCGACAGGCCCAAAACATCACTGCTCTAGAGGAGCAGGCTGTAGAGGCTATAGAGCACTAAAGCGAAAAATAAAAACAGCTAGAAGCTTGTTCCAGATGTGATCTTCCCTTTTACTGTGTTGCATAAGTCTCCCTCTCTCTGGATTTCATTATAAATATAGGCTATGCTCATTGGATGGTAAGGTTATTTAAAATAACTGTGAAAAATACAGATTCTATTGCATTACATTGTAAAACAGAGGTGGTGCTACCAAATCTGGCACTGGTGCCACTACCTTAGAGACTTGGTGGCACCAGTATAAAATGTTAGTCAGGAGCCCTGCTAAAATGTTTTATCTTTTACTCAAAGAGGCATAGCATGGTTTTGGGTTTTGATTATTCATGAACATGTTTTTAATTTAAAATAATAAGGTGAGTGCAGATTTCAGCAAATGAGAGAATGTTCATTTTTTATTTTCAAAATTCATTAAGAGTTAAATAAATGTTCATTTAAGTTCAGGAAATACGTGTCCCATTTGTTATTAAATTGGGGGGGGGGCACACCATGATATACGTATATCGGCCATTGGCCTCTCTACTCTCTAATAAAATATTGGCACTGGCCATTGAAAAACCCATATCGGATCGGTCAACCACTAGTTGTGATGCTGCCACTTACTTTTACTGGCTCCTCTACTGCTGATGCCTGGTACTTCTTCATCCTCTCAAACACAGAGTGGTCAGCACAGCCACCCTCTGAGCCATATTTATGAGGAAAATCTGTCAGATAGGGGGGAGATAAGGGAGTGACTATGACAAGCTTACACTGCATCAGGCATCTCTTTCGAATCAAGTGGTGGACGTGAATCTGTGTGATCTGGGGTGCAAGAGTAGCTGCATTTTTAGAAGAGTGTGAGTGACGGGTTTTCTCTCTACAAGTCAGCATTATATTCCGCTCACCTTTGTCTGGCTCTTTCAACTTCTTGATCTAAGCAGAAAAAGGTACTATCAATGATCTGCCTCTACTTACTGAAAAGACTGCTGTTCTGTTCAACCCAACCTTTATCTAATTTAGAGCCGGTGTGTAACAACATTCTCTCCAAGCTGGTACACACATTGTATTAACCAGAGCCTTGTACTTCATTTTAATGAGCAAATAGGACCGCCCTCAAACTAACAAGCATTCAGTATGGATAAAACTTTGTCCTTTGGTTTAACCAGTTCAGATCAAGAAAAGTCAAAACAGCTCTATCATCTTACTCAGGGAATTCTCTCAGTGTTTACAATCACAGTCTGCAAAGCAGACTGCACACTGAGTGCAAAATGACAAAGTGGGTGCATACTTCCGTTTTCATCTGAACAATACAAGTTTCAGTAACATATGAATCTGTGTCCCACTATACTACTATAGCAAGATCATTTTTAATAGATCACAAAACAAGATCATACTGTACACTGCATAGTCACCACCTGTGCTGACAGTCACAGCACAGTTCACCCCTGGCCACACCCATATCAAATAATGTATGATTTCATATATTGGATAAAGATGGTATGAACAAAAGGTACAGCATTTAAGACTATGTTATATGCAAAATATTACATACTGAGAGTTATGAATATTTCAACTACTAGTTCTTTCAGCCAAGCAGCTGGTGTAACCCACTGAAGCAACCCACTGAGCAACAAGAGTTGCTGCTCAGTGGGTTGGTCAACTGTTAACTGTTAACTGCCATGTAGTATTATGTCCTTATGAGACTAATGAATGTCGATGGCCAAAACACCAAATTACTTGAACAATAATGAACAATGCTGACAGTGTGTTCTGTTTCATTTAAAAGGACCAATATACAAATTAGAACCCCCCCCCCCCCCCACAAACTCATTTTTTCAAGGTGTTTTTTTAGGCCCCGCAAATCAGTGTTCTCTGATGACGGTTTAAATCAAGCTGTTCAAATCCAACTAAGTGGCCATTTCCCCCTGCACAGCTTGCATTTGCAAGACTCATAATCCCAGGATGTCAGCCTGAATGTCTTACAACCACTGTTGTTCATTCAGGAAACAAAACAGTTCTGTGTTGGTTACTAAAACTGACTGGACACACTGTGAAACAACGCATTCATCCTCTGACAATGTGTTTTCCATTTCTTCAGTGAAAGCTGCCTTTGTCCCTACAGTGAATGCCATCTCATTCAACTGCTAATCAAAAGGCCCTTGCATTTTGGACAGATGTTCAAAAAAATCCAAGAGTCATAAAAGACAAAGTCCTCACTTCTAAGTAGCACTCCATCTTTTTTACAGATACAAGCATCAACTAGAATTACTGCCCCGTGGTTGTATGCCTACTTTGTCACACTGGACTTGAATCCAAGTAGACGTTTGTGGCATATTTGAAGAAATACCCTGAAGGTGTTCCTGAGATATGGCATTCATGAAAATGGAACAGACGGACAACCTGAGAACATAATGCCTCCAGCCATGACTGTTACCAGTATGGAGGCATAAAAACCACAGGGAGGCCTCTGAAAAACAAAAAAATCTTCTGCTCTGTGCATTGAGGTGCATGAAAATGGCAGGAAAGCTGTTAATTATAGCCTAAAATATTATAGCACATAAAAAAAAAAGCATACATACAAATTTGTAAGAGCCCACCCCACTCTTCCTCGGTAGTGATTAGTAGACAAGTCTCCGTGTAAAACTGCCATGTTAAAATTGACTAGAAAGATAACAGCAATGAAGGCCAAATCTATGAAAACATGACACTGCTAACTCTTCCTTTATCCAGTGGGTGGAGTGTTATGCAACTCTAAATGGTTTATTCCAACCCTACAACCAGCTTCTTCTCACTAGTTTTGCTTAAATTTCCTCCAGCAATTCAAAAGAATCTTCATGTGTCTGTGCGGTTGAGTGAAGGAATGATGAGCCAGCCCAAAGTCAGGGCAGGGTTCATATCAGACTCACTGTCTGTCTGGAATCATGGGTCTCAAGTCAACAACCACACCTTTCCTGTCTGAAATCCGACTACTTCCAAACATCTTCAGAGCTGTTTGTTCTTGATGAAAGAGATTGAGACATTCAAAGTTTCCTGACTGAGAAAATTTGTTCTTTGCAGTCTGACCTTTACCAATGGCTATGAGTCATGCCTATGCTGTGTTGTGCTCCAATCTCGCCTAGTAGCCAAATCCTGCTGCTACCAGTCTGTCAAACATGCTGGTCTATGAGCTGCTTGATCGTCAGCTCCTTATCTCACAACTTTTTAATTGTACTCCCCATAACACAAAAGCAATGCTTTTGCCAGTATTATACTTTTTAAAGTATTGAATTTCTGCCTTGATTGCTTTAAATAAATCGTTTAATTTCTTGAATAACTGGTTGAGGCAAGAATCTTCAGTGTTCTTTATCTTTAGCCATTACATTTCATTGCTAATTATCCAACAGACTGCAGGCAAATGTCTGTCATTATATAAAACCTAGGAAATCAAAACTTGTCCCTTCTTGTGTGCAGTTTCTGGGTACTGCTTTACAATTGCTTTCTTTATAACAAGTATACTTACTGATGTCATCTTCGTGATAGATCACGGAGTGGAAGGGCACGTTCTTGTCCTGTAGGTACCTCTCTGAGGGTTCAACGTAGTATGTTCCTTGGTGGGTTTTGATGAAGCCCTCAAAGCGCCCATCGACCACAGAGCCATGGGTCAGTGTGCCCTTCTCCCCTGAAACACAGAGGAAGAGGAGGGTGAGTAGATGGTGTGTGGAAGTGTGAATGGGTGAATGGCCAAATAGTGTGAAAGTGCTTTGAGTGTGCTGCATTGCATAGAAAAGTGCTGTATAAGACCATTTACCATTTACTCTGGGCTATATGATGCTTTATTCTCACATGGGCTTGCTCATACATTACACTGACTTTATACTAGGGAGGGTAAAGTCTGCTTAATGTTCAACAAACCTGGATATTTGCGTTCTCAGATACAGCTCCTCTGGGTAATGTCTAGAAAATTTCAGCGCATGTCTGGAAAGGGCTTAACAAACACATTTTCCTGCAGCAAAAAAAAAAAATCTGTGGCATTTGAACATGAATCATATTTATTCTGTCTTTTCTGATCTAAAATTAAGGCTATTTATTACGAGAGCACCATCCTCAAACATAAATCTCTGTTTCTCAGTCCCCTTTCTCTTTGTTTCACACACACTGATCACAACAGGACAAACAGCCTTGTTTTTAATCTTGTTTATCTGAACTCAGCTGGAGACAGGCAGCAGGACAACGTCCAGGAAGGGAAGGGATAGAGAGCGGAAGGAAGAACTGGATGAAAGGTAGAAAAGTGAGTCCTCTGTGTGTGTGTGTTAGGTGGTGGTGTGACAAAAACAACCTTTACTCTCTCACATACCGGTACACACATCGAAACAGAGAAAAGGCTGCAGATAACATAACACTGTATGACAGTTGAAATGTAAACAAAAATGTAGTATTGATAAAATTAGAAGTGATGACACAGACTTTCATTTCCTGTTAGGAGAGTACATTTGTGGTCAGGAAGTGGTGTGTGGTAACAGCTGGACTTACCGAAAAGTTCTCCACTGTAAATATGTGATGTATCAATGGGTGACTCCTCTCCCGATACCTCGATGATGAGATCTGGAGAAAATATTGTTTTATCCCTCTTCATCCGCAAATTAAATTGTCTAAACAGAAGAATAGAAGAAAATGTCTAGTTAACATTAGCACTGATCATATATACACACACAACCTGGTGCTTTGACACACTGGCACATGGGTTCTTTCAAAACTGGCATTATTAAATCATGCCATTAACAGAGTTTAAGTATAAAGGATCACTGACACTGTAAAGCTGGGACAGCAGCAGAAAATGCAGCATCATTCATGTGTTTTTACTGAGCTTCACCTTGCTGCTGTGCTGGTTGTGGATCAGTAGTCGTGTACTCATGTCATGAGGAAAAGCACATGAGCATTGGTGCACAGCCAGATTACATTTTTCTGTGATCCTTTCATTAACATTAACCATGATGACAAAGACAAAGCAAGCATGTACCACATGAGGTGCACATGAGATATCAGAGTCACAGAAACATCAGGCCATGTAGGTCAGAGGAACAGTCCTCACCAGGAAACTCTTCAATAATCACAAGGCTCAATTTAAAGTAATGCTTCCTCCAGACTCAAATGATGCTCACATTACTCTCTCATAATGAGCCCTTTATGGATCATACTATTTTAATTTCTTGATAGTACAATCTCCAACAAGGCAAAATAATGATTTAATAAAATAAATCATTATTTATGGTTGAAAAGTGTAGATTAACTGTATAAAAGATTTGTAAGTAGTCTACAGCTTGTTTTGTTTAAATCACCTGCCCATTTTTAGGCAGGAAGTAGCCTCGTGTAACCCAATTTTGGTATAGTCTGGCAGGAATCATTTGTTAAAGTATAAGGAGTAATCAGTGGCCCTGTGTTCTAATCATTTATGGGTGCTTTTTAGGCCCTAGCACAGGTCAAGTTCCCCAAACACTAGATCATACATCTCCCTTAGCACAACAAATAGCATCATTTCATTTGATTCTCCTTATTTGATTAATGGCCATGTTTTTCAAATTCCCCCAGTTTGTAATAGAAATTTTAGTCTCCAGGCCCAAACTGAGATCATCTGATGGCATCATCAGGGTTACTGTTTCAGACTTTCACACCCACAAAAGGATATAACAGAACTGATTTTTCAAAATTGAACAGGCATACCTATGACAACATAACTGCCAGTGTGTACAACTGACAGAATGTCCCTTTTAAGTCTGTGTAAAATCTGGGGGACAGACCAGATTACACAGCTGCTTCCTCCACTACACACCATTAATGACTACTTTTTCCATATGTTTTGCATATGAAGTGTGTTCAGGAGAACAAAACGCAGTGAGGAGCTACGCTGCAGAAATGAGTACATCAACAAAGTAAAACTAAGAGAAACTTGAGCACAAGAGCCTGACAGATGTGGGGGGTGGAGGAGGAGAACATGAGTTTGGAAAAATGTTTGGGAGGGTGTTTAAAAAGATAAACTAAGAATCTTATGTTCAAATGAAGCCAAGAGAAGGATAACAGAATGAAGGATAACAGAGGAAAAGAATCTGAACACACAAAGAGAGAGAACTGGTAAGCATGTGGGACAAAGGCTGCAATATGACCTACTCTTTGAAGTCAGCACTGTGACATGGAGATCATCTGAATTTACAATAAATTCCTCTGCTCGTTATTCATCCTGGCACACCTTCTACAGTCCTCGGCCTCTCCCCACAACATCAGTGGTCTCTACAAATATCAATATGGCCTCATGACTTATTCTCTGGCCCGTCACAAACTCAGTCCACCCATGACGCCACCAGAGCACACTGGTCACAACACCAGATGAATCAATAAGCTGATTATTTAGGTAGTTATTTAACCAACATTATCAGGGATCTGTACAGAACTTTGAAGGTTCACTGTCAGTGGCTGTTACAATGTTCATGAAGAGATTAAAACAGTTTTCACAAAGAAGGATCACTGAACAAGAAGCACACACAGTTACACTAGTTGCTTCAAAGCTACGTTAAAATGTTTTTTAATTTAACCTATTTAACCTGACTTCTCATCTCTGACATTTTCCAAATAACCTCCATATCTCTAGACCATGATTCAAACCTAAATGCTGAGCCTGTCTTGTTCTAAAGTTGCACATCTGTTTTTAAAAGGCTGGGGCACAGACACAGATGAGCTTATTTATTTTGTGTTAAGGCTGTTTAATTTCCAATGAATAGTTGTGCCGTCCCTTTCCTCAAATGATTTTAACATTTTAGGAAAAACAAACTGAACAAGCAATGAGAAACTAGTAGAATATTTAAAATGTGGGACATTAACATTAGGTTCTACACCAAGAAATCACTGTATTAGTTAAACCTTTGACCATTTGATGTGAACGATTTGACAGAGAGAGAAAAAAAACAAAAAACAAAATCAAAACATAGCTTGTTTTAAACATAGTGCTCCCCATTTCACAGAAGCAGCTAACTACTAAATTATTTAAACATATCTCAAATGCTGAGCATACTAACTCAAGCATCTCAAGAGTCCTACACTTTGCCCAGTATGCAGGCCAGCTCAAAGGAGTCAAGTGCCCTCCAGCCATACCTGCTGAGATGGCATGCATAAAAAGGGAACATTACACTACACATATATAAAACATGTTTTATAAAAGAATAACACACAGTTGGGTTACATGATGACAGTTCTTGGAAGAGTATCCTGTCTTGCAGTGCTTTGTGTTTTACTGTCTATTTTTAAAAAGACACAGTATGTCATCTTTACTTGCACAAAGCCCTATGACCCTGATATAACCTGGACCGAAGTCAGAAGTCACATGGCACTAGTTCTACAAAGGTGCACGTATGGTACTGGGGAAGTGTTAACAGGAAGATGAAGATGTAAAAGTGGGCAATAAATCAAAGGAAAAACTAACATTATGTGAACAACACTGACTTTTTAGTAAAATGTCTCTAGAGCAGTTTCAGTGCCGCTCTGCTGGAGAGAGGAAACATCATTCTTCCAAAATATATTCCCTCACTGTGTCCCAACACACTTTTTCATACTCATTAAGACATTCAGTAACCTAGAGCTGCAACCATTAGGCAGTTCACTGAAAAAATTAACTGAAGCTAAAATCAACATTTTTTGGTTCCACCTTCTTGAATTGAGTTGTGTGCTTTTCTATGTCAGATATGACAATAAACTGAAAATCTCTGGATTTATCTCAGGGAATATTCAGAAGAATGATCAGTGACCACAGCATTACCAAATTTTTTTTTAATTTCCATTCATTTATTCAGGATTTTCCTTTGTCACCAATCTGCATTAGTGCTCAAACATCGGTTCACTTGTACCTTTAACAGATAAACTGAGAGGAGAGAGTTTATCCTTCTCTTGAAAAGGGCTGTAGCACAAGCACATTCTTACTATCTTATAACTATTAACAATCAATAGGCTCAGAAATTATAATATATCTATGTTGGAATGTTTACTCTACTAACTGCACTATCACTAAAATGTAACACTTAAGTAATCTCTACGTGAGTGACCAGTAAGAACATTACAACTCCTGTTATGAGAGCCACAGCTTCTGAGATCTGAACTCTATGATTGCCAGATCTTTTCACATATTAATGAACTACAAAAGGGAGAATACATCTCACATCAAGTCTCCTTCTTAGAAAGCTGGACACTAAACTGGACTGTCAATTGTGTCACTTTCATACTTTTCTGGCAACTCTTTTTGTAAAGAAAACCTCTATAGAGAAAACTGTCTGCCCTGGTTTGTTCTGTCACCTGATCAGGCCATAAATGCTCATGTGAGTGGGCACACACACACAGAAGCTTTTCTCTTGTTACCAACCTCTATAGTACCACAAAGCCTTGCCATGGGTTTTCACAGAGGGAAGAATGCATGTCTGTGCTTGCACATGCGACACACATTTGTAAACCAAACTAATGTAATAAGGATATGAAAAACAAGACATTAGCTTTAGGATGAGTGGTTTGGTTCTATCTTAAATCCAACTTTAGTAATGTGAAATGCTAATGTACAATATGATTGTACCACAACAGACCCTCAAAACCACAAAGTTAAATGAAAATGTCTGACACATTTCAAAACAACTTAATATTGTAAGCATACTCAGGATATTTGTTTCAAGACTATGACATTCCTTTGTGTTCTGTGCAGTGCTACTTTTCCTCCATCACTTAGCTCATCCAGGAGGATTAGCTTACAGTAAATTTAATGCAGGTCCATTTGGCCATGATTGAACATTAAACCACAAATGATCTCCACATCAACTTCCTCTGCAAAGCAGCATTTAATGGTTCTTTAGACAACACAGTGCACTGAGACACTGAAAATGATCATGCTGAATGATGCTGCAATTGCTGCACTAATACAGGACAGCACCAGCTGTTTCTCCAATGACAGGAAAGAGCACAAACCCACAGGAAACAAGGTCTGTTTGACAGGGTCGTGATAACCCACAACAGACATGATGGGGAGCTGTCTGAAAAAACACTGCTGAGGTAAATTTCTGCTACGTTCTTCAATGTGTCAAAATTAAAAAGAGTAAACTGGAAAAGCAGATATAAATGAGCATGAGACAGAAAGGGACAAACATAAAGATATTTCCTATTAACAAAATAACCCCAAAACTGCACTGGGATTATATGGCAGTATAATAAAATAACTGGGTGGATGAGTTTACTCATGTATCTGTGTGGATACCAAAGCGGTGATCATTGTGAACAAAGTGATGAGCCAGAAAACAAACTAATGTTGTTGATGAGGTAAGACAGGCCTGCTAGTCCATATTTTCCATGTCGTGATGAAACACTAGAGTCCTTAGCTGGGGTCTAGTAAGTGAAATGCTGGTATGGCTCGCTGTTTCCTTGGAGTTGCAGCTAATCACGCTACTCAGAAACATCTACAGTATTTCACTCAGAAGTATCAGTAAAAAAGTTCTCCTTTAAAAAAAATACCAAAAGACAAACTGGATCAGAGGTTAAAATAATAATAATAATAAAAAAAACAAAAAAAAAAAAAAACATACGTGTTGCTTTGGAATTTCAAAGAAGTGCAAAGTTAACTGTTGCTGCTGATGTTAATTCCTTCCCTTAAGAAATCATCCGGTAATGTTCTTACAGGCATGTCCACACTAATGCCCTTAACATTGCAAGCAATGTTTAAAAAATGTTGTACTCACACACATTCTAATGCGGCCTGCTGTCAATTTATACCAAGCAACAAGATCACAGCTGATACAAATCAACATTCCTGAAATAATCTGTTTCCAAAGCAGTGCTGGCACCACTGTACCCACAAATTACATCTTATTGACAACAAAAAGTAGTAGAAAATACAAGGAGGCTCTACTCTCACGGAGGTTTAAAAAAAGGAAAAAGGGAAAGCGGAAGAATCTGATTACAGCTTGCAATAATGTGGTTAGTCTTGTTTTTTCAAAGCGTTAAATAACCACAATGTTGCTGCTGATGCTCTCAGAGAAGCCTGAACTATTGTGGCAGGTATCTTTTATACCAGGTATAAAACCCACTTAACACAAGTTGACTGATGTTCATTCACATTTCAAGGATTAATTAAACTCACTGACACTCATTTCACTAGCCTTACACCTACATGATGTGTGTATAATTACTTTGTCAATATGGGCAATTTTAAGATCTGGTTTTCAGTTCTAATGCAAGTGCCCACTATTATAGTTACATTTATTTTGTCTCTGGCTACAATTCTGTGACAAGACACTTCAGTAAGGAAATACTATAACTAAGTCATAAACTGTATGATGTGCCACATCAAATGGCACTAAGGGAACATAAATATTTCCATGTCCATTTCACATTGAAATGCATTGCCTTCTAATTATTCATGCAAACGTATATAAATTCCCATTTTGATGATGTGGCAAGTAAACACAGTAAGCCCAGCACAACATAAGTCAAAGCAAAATATGATGAGAAAAATGTCATTAATAAAAGACAATCAATGAATTCCCCCCCCCCTTAAATCAGCCCTCATAGAATCGTTGGGTAAAAATGAATAAGTACTTAATTTATTGGTAGGTCAAGTCTACAAAGCTATTACAAACTTTGAGTGCACAGGGTAGGTTGAGTATTAACAAAAATATAAAAATTGTGTGTGGTTGTATTTAAACTGACCTTCCATGTGCATGGAAGTCCAGGTGCACAGTCCCGTCTTCAGGAGAGAGTGACCTCTTGGCTCTCTGGTGACTGTTGTGCAGGGCCTCGGTGTCATATGATAAACCCTCATAATGGCGAATGTATTTGTTCAAGGAATTCCCAAAGTAACCTGAAAGAGAGTTCAGTGGCTCATTAACATTTGTCAACCAACGCTTGTTTCAAGGCAGCAAAGGAAAGCCCCATTTTGTTTTGATAATTAGGATTCTTTGTTCACTCAGTATTTATCCATCTTATGATATATTAAGCTGATACAACAGGCAGATGTTATAAAGCCCCCCAACAAATTACAAAAAAAACCTAGTCACCTCATGTCTTCATTATGTCAGTGCATTCCATTTACAAGCTTTTTCAGAGAATATACAAGCCCTCTTAAAGGAGACATTATGCAATCAACAGGAAAACAATTACACCTGCCCACGTACAAGATGATCCACATATCGCTTACCAATAGGCCTTTTTCACAACACACATTTTGTGTCATAGTAGGACAAGCACAGGCGTCACTAATAGCATTACTGATGGCTGTGCTGTATTCAGGTGTGCCAAAAGTCATGACAGTGAGCCAGCATGCATAATATGAGGTCCCTGAAATTGAAGCAGCTACATGGCATTAAGCCATCATTCACTTGATTATTTACTGGTGCTTTTCCCACTGTGCCATTTCAAAATGTGCTAATGAAAATGTCTTATGGAGCCAAGTTGAGAAAATAGGGATGAATCTCTTCCATAGTGACCAGCTAAAGCACAAAATGTCACTCACTAGACATGCTTAACAGGCTTATTCAGCTTGCCGATGTGTCCGCACAGATGTAGGTTAATCCTGCCAGCTTTCATACTGACCATTTTCTTTGTTCTTTTCACAAAGAAGTCATTTTAAGGCACAAGTGAGAGCACATGATGCAAATCAGGTGACTGAGGTTCTGTTTCACTAGTACTGTATGCCATTGTACAAGCTCAGTGGCTGAATTGGTTGCAGGCTATTTAAATGCTAATCTACAAACTAGGGCAACACAGAATGCCACTAACTAAATATCTGTCTGACATATTGTATTATAAAACTAACTCTGCTACAAAAACATCCCTTAGTAATACATTCATTTGGAAGGGATCCATTTTGAAAGTTGACAGTGACAATGGGCTCTAAAGTTTTGCAGGGAAAAACCTAAGAAAAATACACTTTACTAACAAACACACAGAGGTTGACTGCCTATATTTTTTACACTGTACTGTTTTGTTCATTCTAGGGCTTTCATGTAGTGGGAATCAAAGCTCCCCCAGACAGGGAGAGGCTGTACCAGGCCAGTAACAACTTGTCCATGAATGCAGCAAGGAAATATTCCAGCAATCACCTTCTTTGACAATAAAAATAATGAGAGCAAACTAGAATGAACGAATGAACTGAGATATGAGAGAGTGAGGCAGTCATTAATCAGGGATTTGTTGATTTGTACAAAAGCAAACACTGTCAGCTCAGATCGCTGAGATCAGGCTTCTCAGTAGGACACAACAACTCCATTGTATGTAATGGTGTAACAACACAAAGCTGATTTGTCTACACACAGTCACCTGCATAATAACTTAGCAATAAGACTGCAGTAAGCGGTATAGTTACTGGATGGAGGGATGGATGCTGTGAACAAACACCAGTAAAAACATAACCTCTTTCATGGAGGTAAGCCTTCAGTGTGGCGAATATGCTAGCTGAAAACTGGGGTCCTGTGACACTTGTTATCCATACACACAGTATACAGGTCACATACTGTATGTGCCAGTTGCACTGTGAACAATTCTTCTTATTTATTATTCCTTACTGAAATGTTTTCCCTGCACATTTTTGTTAGTTTCCTAGTCCCATTCAGATGGATGCATGTCACAGAAACAGCCAATAAACGGTTTTGCGTTGCACTTTAACACAGATGGATAAACAAACCGGACACACACATTATGTAAAACCAGCCACATCATCGCAACAGTCTTTTCTCTTGTAAAAGTAGACTACAATGCTTGAAAACATCTGACTATTAGGGGGCAGCTCTACTGCTAACATAGCCTACTCTACTTTAACACCAATTTTACCACAAGTGTGTTGGCACTGATAGATAAAAAACACAGTTTAACATCCAGTACTAACAAAAATGCATGGTGTGTCATTATGATGCATTAACCGTGGTCCAAATTGGACAGTGTTAGGTAATTTCTTAGTTAGATAGATATTTAGAGATTTGTTGTCTAGAAATGTTTAGTGGAGACAGGATGTCTAGCTCAGGCTGTTAAATGCTTAGTTATTCTGATGTGCTTGCAGACTGCATCTAGGCCAAGGTTAATTAAATCAGACAAAGGCTGCAGGCAGGGATGATTGTTATTATTAACTGTAATGCTAATCATAATATTTTCCTTAATGTGAAATGTCATGTCAAATTGTTCTTAGATACACACCACTAATCAACAGCCACACACCTTGACTTTTCCTCGTGTTTTGACTATTGTTATGGTCAGCTGCAAGCTGGCATATCAGGTGACGTCACGGTTTGATGTGCCTGGGTAGAATGGGCTATCCCAACCAAGTGATTAATATTGTATAGGTTCTTTGGTTCAGGGTCTTTCATCTTCCAAGCTGCCTGCGCGCAGGTTTGGTGGTGGGAGAGATCTGGACGTGTAATGTTAATTTTACCTGTGATCCTCTGAATAAACCAGCACGGTTATTTTTTATAAAATCTAAGTGGTCTACTTCGTCTTTGTGAGTTCCTGGTTTGAAAGAGCCGGAAGAGGCTTTGTAATAAAACAGAGCCTATATCAGTGAATAGCGGAGAATGCTCATGCCAAACAAAAGAGTCTTCTTCCCGTGGGCGTCCACATCCTGATTGTCCCTGTACATGATTTGTCAACACAGTGCTGCTACAGGGTGATGTCACTGTCGGGTGCGGTGAAAAATTCACCAGATCCAACTTTTTCGCCACAGGGTTGCATCATTTGCCAGAGCCCCCTGCGGTGATGGTGCCCACTGCAGTGAATGCAATCCTCCATAGCAATGAATGGAGAGGGTTGTGTTTTTCACATCTTTGACCAAGTAAAGTTGTCTGACATTATTGTCTGAACACGGCTTTACAACAATGGTGCTTGACTGGTGTTACAACATTCCCACCAGGCTGAAACACAAAATTCACTTTAAAAGATCACCCCTGCAGTCCCTAACCCTCACAATAGCATAAGACACTTTATAGTGTTTTTTTTAGTATTCACTTTGACCACAGCTACCATTACCAGGATCTTGAATGCCTGTTAAACCACAAACAAATGATCATGAATTAATAAAATACATCTTAAAATCTCAAATCACATATTCACATCCTACTTTTTCAAAATAACACACATTGTTTCAAAAAATATATTACTCTGTATTTGTTATAGCCCCCTCCCTCTTGTGTCTAACCTTTTCTAAAGTATGCACATTAGTATGTGTAGATAATGCTTGTCTGGGATTGGTTCCTGAGCTGCTGTACCTGTTCCTTGACCCGCCTCCCTCCTTTTGCAAACCTCCAACATCAGGTTACTTGTGTTGCTTCAC